GATTGATAAATCACCAAAGAGTCCAAATCCGGCAAATCATTTTGGAAAACTGATTTTTAAAAAAGAAGTGTCAAACATGGACTGCTTTGCCAGATACAAAGTCGCCACCTAAATATTTATTTTGGGAGAATTTAGGAAACCCTGACTCGTTGCCTAAGGCCACGTATCCGTCATCCCCAAAGTTGTCTCGGCTCGGGAACTTGGGTACCATTGGGGACGGTCATCTATGAGCACCCCCGCTCGCCCGATCAAAGATCGGCTTGTACTAAAACATGATATTTTGTTTTGAAAAACACACGTGTTCTTATTCCGGTGTATTAGCCTAGAATTACTATGTGATGCGCACAGCATACAAGTATAGGCTGGATCGCCTAAGTTGGAACAAAACATCTCATGTTTGTTTTTGAAAGCGGTTTGAAGGTGCTACTCGCAAGTAGGCTAAGACGTGGATTTGCCACCCTCAAGTGGGCTTAGAAAACATGATTTTGCCACAATCAGGTGGGCTTAAAACTCGCATTTTAATGAATTGTTCCAATTCAAGTAATCTAACCTCCACCCACAAGCATTCAGGCAGTTATATCATATAAGCAGTTAGCCTTATGGCAAGCATGCTTTTATGGCAACATTAACACACATGCAGTATGCTAAAGCGTAAACACTTACCTAGTACTCCGAGTCAAAACAATAGCTAGTTAGAAATCATGCATGATCCTAGTTCATGTTAAGATGGCTAATGCAACACATGCAAAATACAACTAGAATAGGCTCGGCTAATCTAAGAATGGCATGTGAAATGCGACAACTCAATACACGTGTTCAAGTTGGAATTGAAATACTATGAAATTAGTATGATGCGCCGAGCCCGGTGCGTGCAATACAAATAAATGTATGCAAACATGCTAACATAAGTATGCTAATTGAAACATGACCTAAAACTAACCATCAAAAGCAGGTAAGTAAAAGGGAGAAAGACGTGGGGTTGGAAGACATTCACACGCACACGCACACTTATTACAAATTCGCCCTCTCGACGGAGGGTCCGAATATATAATACAAACTGAATAATAAATCAACTATCCTAGCTAATTAATTATTACAAACTCTTAATTAATTAACAAATTAATTACAAAACAATCTAAGTATGAAACTAAAGAGGTCACCGCAGCTCTGTCTCGGAATGATTGAATGATGCATGCTCGATTGCCTCGCTCGAAAACCCATTGCCATGTCGCATGTTGCCTCTGCTTGCATTGTTTTGCATCTCTGAAAATTGCGAAAATCCTTAGGATGCTTCTGAAACACTTCCTGAGCACTGTGGGAGGTCACCGGCCAAGAGATGAAGTCACCAGCCATGGGAAAATGGTCATCGACCAAAAGTGGAGCTCTCGGCCAAATTAAGTTAGCCGGCCGGCACTGAAGATGGCCGATCGGCCATCCCTTCCTGCAGAGTGCTGTTTTTGCTGCAGCAGAGGACAGACAGTGCATGGCAGGGCGTTTACAAGACAATGTGTACACGACCACCCTCCCTATCATACTATGAACTCAAGGGAGTATGGCTCTCGATGCTCGGACCACCAATCACGCATTTCAATGCATGATGGCCAAAGGAGTCAAGCGTGCAATTCAATATCAAATGAAATGCACAAAACACATAAGGGTCCCAAACCTCTATCATGGTGGATCAAGAGGCAAGGGATGCATGCTTAATGTTATGCAACCTAGGTATGCAAGCTAGCTAATTTGACATGGGCATGCAAACAAGCAATATGCAATAGGCATACAACCTAAATAAATAAGCATGCAAGACACGTAGCAACAATGCCAATGACAAACATGCAACAACATGTGAGGTAAACATGCGACAACATGTTAAGCAACTTAACGAGAGAGGCATGCCAAATGCAATACCACTTAAACATGTAACAACATGTTAAAAGGCCAAGTATGTAACAACATGCAAGGCAAGCATGAGACAACATGCAAAGGATGGACTTAAACCAATATGGACAGCTCTCAAATAGGTCCAAATCCCATAAGGATGCAACAACTTGCAATGCGATAAGTATATAACAATACACAAATGCATGATTCAAGGACTTACACTAAAGATGGATAGACCTCAGCCGTACCAATAACAGTAGCCAAAGTGCCAAGGAATGATGGACAAAACGCACCTAAACATGCACATGTACGAGTCCAACACTTAGGCATAAAAAAGGTTGACTCTTAAGCACATTTAAAAGAGATAAATATGGACAAATAACAAGAATGATAAGCTCTGAAAATGTGTAAGGGATGATGCCAAATCAACCAAGCCATACAAGTAAAGCATAAAAAGGAGCCCAAAACTTGAGACTAGCCAAGGGACTGAAGCCATGGCCATATCAACCAAGCCCCAAAGGGCCAAAGTGACCTAAGACAGTCCTAGGGCAGGCCAAAACAAAGCTAGAACATGTATGGAACAAGGCCAAAACATGATAAAAGATAGGCACAAAACAAAGGGCATGCAAGGCTACAAAGGATGCATTACACTACACCTATCACAACCAAACATGGCATGAATTATGCAATGAAAACCAGAGTTATAATTTGTCAAAATAAGCCCCAAAACCCAATGAGATGGCATCCCAAAGACCTAATCATGGAGACATACACAATGACCCAATCTTAAGGCACAAAACAACAACTCTTCAAAGCATTGAAAGGATGGCAAACATGAGTTTGTGGCTACACTACATGGACTGAACTATGATTTCAAAAGATGCCAAATCATGAGAATGGTATGAGCAATGCATGCTAATGGCTTAGATGCTCAAAGCTAACAAGCCAAGTTGAACCATGGCTATACAAAACAGTGCATGCATGGTCAAAACAACACCAAATAGAGTTTAATCATGGTAAAACATGAGGGAAAGCTCCTTGGAGTCGAGCCAAAACATGCAAGAATATTGGTCCAAACACAAGATGCATGTTATGCAAACATGCAAGATTACTTTACAAGTATGTGAAGTGTGCAAGATGCTATCAAACCAACATGGAATAGAGTTAAGGCAGGTCCTAAAAGTCACTAAAAAGTGTTGAAATAGAACCAAGACATGCTAAGTAAACTTGTTCACATTATGAGCCATTAACACAAGCATATGCGACATAAGGAGAGGGGGGTGTCCCTCCTCTATACAAGACGTCAAAACCACTTCTCCACCACTAAAAATCCTCTGGATTTCAGTGGTGAGAAGGTCAAAACAAAAGGGGTTCAAAGCTCAAGAAGAAGGTCACAAAATAAGGCCAAGCAAGGCCTAAGAGGGGGTAGACAACCTCCGACCCAAAAGTAACCTTAAACAAACATCTCAAGCATGAAAATACAGAACTTTTTTCAGTTGGACACTAAGCTTAAATCAGTATGCAAGTATTTCTAAAGCCTTAAGCCAAAATGGGAAATAAAAGAGTAGTTTCTCACCCTTGAAGAACACTTCAAGAACACCAACTCCAGCACCTCCTTCTGATCAAAACTAACTCAAAAACTCTGAAATCAACTGCTTAGCACCTCAGTAACTAAAGGAAAGTGTAACACTAGGTGCCTTAGTGCAAAAATATGAACAAAAACACCTTTTAGAATGCTATTACACACAAATATAGAGAGAGAAGGAGATATAGAGAGAGTGTGATATATCTCTAATATCTCAGATTGTTCAACCTCTGGAAAGGGAGGGGAGGCCCTCCTCTTATAAGAAATCCAATTCCAAGCTTCCAAGGGAAGCTAAGTGTAAGGATGAAATCCCTCCATACACGTGTATGGAGGGCAGAGTTTGTTCTCACCAGCTAGCACAGCTGGCATGCACAATGCCTGAAAAAGGAAAAGAAAATGCCTCGGCCAGAAAAAGTGGTCGATCGACCAAGAAAATGGCCGGCCGACCAAATACAGTGCTGATCGACCAATACATTTGGTCGGTGGCAAGAAAACCAGGCCGGTGGCTTCAGGCCATGGCTGGTGGGTTGAGGGGATGGCTAACAGGCCACTTCCTACCCTCAGAAGCCAAAAACACAAGTGTTTGGTCCACAACCAAGCACAAAACAAACAAGTTGAGAGATCTTGAGGCAAGGCGCGCAACCGAGACTTTCGAGAACTCAAAACGAACACAAACATGGATGATCATCGAGTGTTCAAGCGATGACATCCAAGTCTTGAGGACGGTCAAAAATGGGGTGTCTACAGTCTAACACTTGTTAAAATTTATGAAAAATTTACAAGTTGAAGTTAAACTAAGGTTATGTCTAACACTTGTTGAAATTTGTGAAAAATTTACAAGTTGAAGTTAGACTGAGATCATGTTTAACACTTGTTGAAATTTGTGAAAAATTTACAAGTTGAAGCTAAACTAAGGCTATGTCCAACACTTGTTGAAATTTGTGAAAAATTTACAAGTTGAAGTTAGACCAAGATCATGTTTAACACTTGTTGAAATTTGTGAAAAATTTACAAGTTGAAGTTGAACTAAGGCTATGTCCAACACTTGTTGAAATTTGACAAAAATTTACAAGTTGAAGTTAGACCGAGATCATGTTTAACGCTTGTTGAAATTTGTGAAAAATTTACAAGTTGAAGTTAAACTAAGGTTATGTCTAACACTTGCGGAAATTTGTGAAAAATTTACAAGTTAAGGCCAAGGTTGTATTAAATTGAGTACTTATGTACTTGCCGATGTAAACCGTTGGTGGGTATAACTGAGGTATTTCACCTCGAGAAAATTACACAGTTAAAGTGTGCGTTTGAGATATGCAAAATATTCTAAATATGAAATCAAACAAGAGCAGTAAAGAGAAGACAAAGATACAAGCATTCAGGAAATGAAGTTGTATTAGCATTCAAAAGATGACATGTCGGCCAAAGCTTACAATTGTTCTAGAAAGAAGAGAAACAAAAGTACAAAATACAAAGGAAAAGGACATCAAAGTTAAGACTCATCGGCAACACCAGATGGTTGGGTTTGAATTTCAGAAGACTACTGGGAGGACATCTCGGCAGCCTTCTCAGTCGCGAGCTTGGCATCTATTTCTTGAAGGGTTTGATCGAGGCTCTTGTCGGCGAGAGGCACGTCCCATGATGCCTTCTCAAGAGTAGCATCCTTGGGAACCTCCTCACCCTCCTTATCTTGAGTCAAGTCCAGGACTTGCTAATTTGGAGTAGGGGACTTGGCCCCAGTAGCTTCCTTTGACTTCCTCACCAAAGCTTCCTCCTCAGACTCCGAATCGTCGTCGGATTGGCTTGGAGTTGGAGGGAAAGGCAGGGCGAGGACGTCGGTGTTCCTAGGGGGGAGTCCTCGGGGATTTCAAGCTTTTTCAGCAAAGTCATCCAACCATGGGTGAAACCCTTGTTGCATGCCTGCTTCACCTGTTTCTCGTAATCTGCCATGACATCGGCCACCCCCTCAGCGTATGCCTTTTCATCTGCGACCTTGACCTCGACAGCTTTGGTGGCCAAGGCGTCTTGGAGTTCCTTTTGGGCCTCAACCGTCTTCTCTTTGGCCTCTTTCCTTTGGGCCTCAAGGGCCTTGTTTATGGCTTCAGCGACATCCGCCTTCTCTTCGGCCACATCCTTGGCTTTGACAGCAGCCTCAGCCTGGTCTGCCAAAGTCTTCATTTTCGCCTCAGTCTTTTTGCTGGCCTTCTGCAGACTAGCAACCTCCCTAGTCTTGTCGGCCAACGCCTTCCTTATCTCAAAAGACTGCATTGAGAAGGAGTGGGCGTGCTGGATTGCTTAAAGAAAAATGGACAGAGCATAAGTTATTGAAAAAATTTCTAAGTATAAAATAAGGAGAAAAATTACCAAAAAGAGGGGCTTACTTTAGCAGAGTGTTGCAACATCAAGGCAAAGTTTTCATACTCAGTCATCTCAGCATTGCGGTCGAGATCCCCAGAGAGGAGCAAGGCTGTAGTAAGGTCAACACCGAAGGTCAACACCGACGTTGATGTCGTTGGCACTATCATCAACTTTGACTGGCCTGTCCTTCAAAGTAATGAGTGGAGCCCAGGGGGCACCAGACTTCATGGAACCTAACACTGTGGTTGATTCTGACCTCGGCCTTTTGGACCAGGTTGATTGAGATGGTTTGGCATCCACGAGCCTCTTCTCTGTAGCAGAAGAGGTCTTCTGACTCTCAGCCAATTTTGAAATTAGCAAGGTGTCCTCAGTATCAATTTGAGTCACCGTTGCCTTTGGCTGAGCTTTCTTTATCCTTTTTTGTTTCGGCTTTGGCTGAGATGGTGCTGGTTCAGCGTCAACAGTGGCCGGGATGTTAGCCAAGAGGTCCTTCGCAACTGCTTTCTAACGGCCCATCTTAGTGGCAAAAACTGTTCGGCGTCGTCGACGACGTTGAGATAGTGGGATCAAATATGGAGCCGAGGTTGACGGCTGCTCTGCTGGATCAGAGATCGATCCTTGATCTGGCTGAGATGTGAAGGCAGTTTGAGGAGTTGTGACAGAAAGGGGAGATTGGATTTTCTTCCTATTTGGGACGTTGGGGAGTACTGCAAGGGGGCTCTGCGCTTGTGAACTGGCTGATTCAATAGCTTCTTCAAATCCTTGCTGGGGAAGAAGGACTTGCGGAAGCCCTTTGGTGGCTGAGGAAGAACTGTAAAAAAAAAAAAAAAAGAGCATAGACGTTAGAACATACAAGAAGAATAAGTCTTAAACTGCTTGAAAAAAGTAAGTCTGTGTAAAAATTGACCCTTACCATTACCCTCTACAAAAACTGTTTGACTAAGAGGGTAGAGATGGAGGTCCTTATCTGGAGCAAACTTCCAGTTGCCCGAGACGATGAAATAATCGTCTCTGGCACCCTTGTTTGAATCTGGGAGGTTAGCAATGATCTTGTACTCAGTAGACCTCGGCTTGAGGTAGTAGACATGGCCTTTTTCTGATTTTAGGTGACACATAGTGTAGCAGCATTGAATATCGACTAAAGTCACCCTAGCGTTTTCTTGTTTTGCTAAAGCTATTATACCATTAATAACTCGGTAAGAGTTAATAGCAAGCTGTATCGGGTTCAATTTGTAGAAATGGAGAATTTCTCGAAAAAGGGTGTCTAAAGGAAACCTAAGTCCACATTCAATAAAGGCAACAACAGGAAAGGGCATGAGGTTCACATCGGGCATAATGGAATCCTTCTCCCCTGCCAACCTAAGGTGGATGTTGGCAGGGTTGGAAAACTCCCGCCTAAAGTATTCTAATTTGGTCGGGGTGTCTACCCTATGCTTCCATATACCCATGATGTCGGCTTAACTGGAAGAGATGGATTTCAGAAGGGAGTGTTTCTGGAGGGTTTTAGGGATCTCGGCTAAAGCCTAAAAATACACAGAATCTGTGGGGAATCATTTCAGCTTTTCCTAAAAATTTGTGGGTTCTACAAGCAAATCCCAAACCTAGATTGAAGGCACGAATCTCAAAAAGTCACAGAAAACAGAAAAACAAGAATGTGTTTCAAAATCAAGAATAGTGGTGAACTATCAAGTAAACTGTGACAAAAATGTGCACAAGGGCGCGAGACCAAGGACAGTGGCAAAAATCAACAAGTGTGTGGACAGTGTGAATTCAAGAAAACAGATGGGACAAAAATAGAATCATGAGACAAACATGTAGTTGAAAACAAGATACAAGTTGAAATATCAAAGATATGAGCAGTGGAGTTCAGTAAAGCAAAAAAGAAACTGAAACAAGAATTTAAATCAGGAAGAAACAGTAACTCACCGAAGAAAAGAAGTCGGAGTTGTGTTCGCCGGGATCAAGCAGTAGCCGGAAGCAAGGAAATACGATAGAAGCCTCGCCGGAGGAGAGAGTCAGACTGGTCGCAGAAAGCTTCGTTAAAGCAGCAATGAAGGACTTGGAAGAAAAAGCTAGAGAGAGAAAAAGCTTCAAAAATAATGATGTAAAGTGAAAAGACGAAGAGAGAGGACACTGGTTTTGCCAAAAATGCGAAAAGGCGGCAAAATGGAATTGATGAGCCTAGAACGACGAATTTGTCAAACGGCGCACGCAGGCGTGAGACGACTTACAGGCGCGTATCGAGTACGATCCAATGAGGAGAAGACACGTGACAAAAACAGTTGATGTATTTTGCATAACAGCTCACATGCGTGATAAAACTCTTGGAGTTCTTGGTTTAATGAAGTAATGACATCGGCTGATAGGAAAATCTCGGCTAAATAAACTTAAATAAGCTTGGTTAAAAATTCTGAAACCTTGATGAGACAAGATTGCAAGACCTGGTTGTGTGAAGCTGATGTATTATGACCTTGGTAAATGGATGATACAACAAGATAGCCGACATGCTATACGATATAACAATATAGGTTCCATCACCTCAGGATGCTAAGGTAATAGAACCTAAGGGCAGTTGTGGGGATATATTTTCTGAGTACCAACACATGGCCAATGTGACGTCGAAGTGTCAGCCGAGGTGCCATGTGTCCTAGTTATGACGCCGAGGTGATCTCGGCTAGGCCGAGGTTATCTCCGAAGATATTGGAATCCGGGATAAGCGGATAAGGGACAAGAGTCCTAGAATGAGGAAGGAACTTAGTCTGGATAAGGATAAAGCTCTTAAGGAGTTTATCTTTATCTCTTGGAGAGTCCAAGATAAGCACTAAGCGGAAGTCCATTGAAGCTAGGCTTCTATTGAGACTAGGATTGAGTTGGCTATAAAAAAGGAGGCACCCCCATGGGTCTAAGGTACGCAATTTATATTTTGAACAGTGAGTTAAGCACTATTGATTATCTTTGAGATAATTGACTTGATTGTCGGAGTGCCCTCGGGTGGACGAACCACCGCCGGAATCTTCTCTTTCTGTTGCAGGTCATTCAGGCGCCATCTATTCTGCCAGTGCTCTCCAGCTGAATACTGAGTTAGCAGTGTGGTCAGAAATTCACTCATAAAGTAAATATTAGGGTAAATTACAAATACGCCCCCCTGAGGTTTGCTTAAAGTACAAATTGCCCCCTATAGTTTGAAAAATTATAAATATCCCCTTGTTAAATTTTTTTATTTAACATAATTAATTAAAAAAGAGAAATTCATAATTACTCTCTTATAAAATAATAAAATTATCTAAATTATTATTTGAAACATATTTATAACATCATTACAAAATGTTAATTGACTTGATGATTTATTAATAAGATGGGCGATTGGTTATGAAATTAGAAATCTCGGGGGTGGAATGTAATTTTTAGAATCACAAGGGGCGATTTGTATTTTAATCAAACTTTAGGGGGTGTATTTTTAATTTATCCTAAATATTATGTATATCAGTATAGAAGCAGATACAAAAAATAATTAAGAAAGAGCAATTGTTTTTTGTTCTTCAATCATCATCAATTAAAAAATAAGGACACAAACTTTTTATTTATATTTTATAAGAAGGGAGACGGTTTATTTATATTTATATAGGACTCTTGAAAGCAGATATATTGTTTCTGAGTATTCAACTTCAAAAATAAAGAGATAGTTAGTTTATATAAGACTATTCATGACTTTTAAAAAATATAATAGGTTTGAGAGAGTTAAATTGGAATTAAAAAAAAAAAAAGTAAAAAACATAACTAGCTCTTCACACTTTTATAATAGTAGTAGATGTATAGGTATGAGTGTAGTTTCTCAAATGATAAAAGTGGGAATGTTCTAATGCTTTGCCCTTCACAATTGTAAGTTTGATGAGGCAAAAAAACATTCATATTGGCCGCAATCACAAATATCATCTTAGAGTGATTTTTTTTTTTTTTTTTTTTTTTTTAAATTACATGAAATGTATAATGAATATTTGTGTATCTTTATCAAGGATGAGATGAACATTTTATATAAATTAGTTAATGATGTGGGTAAAATTCATATTGTTTAGTGATAAAAAGGGTCAATTGGAGGACAAGTTAACCAAATAGTTTATTGTCCAACAGGTCACATGTTTGAATTTTATGGAAACCAAATATTCTAAACCTTAAGGTCACTAAAAATTTGTCTGTTCGTAAATTTTAAAATATCAAAATTAATCGAAGTATGTGTTAATTGATTTGAATATCTAATTATAAAAAAAAATGTTAGAAAAACTTCGATATTATACTATTTTAATGGTGAGATCAAACTTTGATAACAACTCTTCCAAATTCATCATCAACGATATATTATATTTCATACTAACCTATAAAATTACAAAAAATTAATAAGAGTTTGTCACTCTTTCTCTCTTTTACGATGAGGCCTATAGATGACATTTACATTTGATTTTTGATACAGAAATATAATAATGATAGTTGTACAACATTGTCAAATTAAAAGATGTCATCAAAGGGATTGATGTTTTATTAGGGAAATTTTAATATGTATGCACTTTTAATTATATTATTAATGTATGCACTTTTAATTATATTATTATTTTTAATTATGATTAATTTTTTTAATTATAATATTATTTTAATTATAATTCATAAGATTTTTAGTTATATCTCATATTATATTTAGTTATGACTCAAAAAATTAAAATATATCATTTTTTAATTACAAAGTGAATATGGTGTATCATATAAATTCTATAAAATGAATTAAACTTAATGAATCTGGTAATGGAATTCGAGTAATAAAAAGTGAGGCGTTACATAGGTACACTGCCAATCATTTTGTCACATCCCTTCATGTTTGTCTCTTCGTCGACCACCATACCTCCAGACATCCCTTCTCTTTCTAATATTCCATCCACGAATTTCAAGTGTTATTTGAAATAATCTAAATAAATAAATATATTTTATTTGTTATAAAAAAAAATACGATATAATAGAAAGGCAATGTGACCCAAATAAAAAATAATATGTCCTAAATAAATTAAAAAGATAAAAAAAATGTGTTAAAATAGTTCATCCCAAATAAAATCTTTAGACCACTAATTAATTTTGGCCTTTTTATTTATTTGGGATATTACACATAAGTGTATTTTTATAAAAATAATTATAAATAAATAATTTTTTATTAATATTAATAATTAAAGTTATAATTTTTTTTAATGATTTTGTAATTATTTTTCCGACACTACACTGAATTTCCTTTATTTATTTCATCTTGTACAAATTGAATTTTATCATAACAAAATATCAAAGTGTCAATATTGTTAGTATAACTTTTTTTTTTTTAAACTACATAAAAAAACACATTTTAGTGGCACTATACTAGTGGTATGTTTTTAGAAAATGTCACAAAAATAATATTTGGTTGCACGTTCTAGAAAAATGTTACAAAGCCGCGAATATAAAAGTCTCTAGAGGCATTTCAATAAAAAAATGTCACATCACTATAACAAAAATGTGATTTAATAGCATCAATTTTATGACATTTTATAAAAGAGTGATACAAAAAATTATTTTAATGACATTTATCAAAAGATGCCACTAAACTTTAGTAGTAATGACATTTTTTTAAAAATGTCACTAAAAAGTGTCATTGAACCAATGTTGCCCCTTAGTGGAGTCCTTAAATGCCACCCATTAGTTGTTGTGAGTTGTGACAATATGATTTAAAATTAAAATCAATTAAAATTAGAAAAGTGAAACAAAAGGGAGATAGAGAGAGAAAGAGAGAACA